CCTTAAAAAATATGTTCTGGTAAGTTTAAACCACGAGAGACTCAGAAAAACCTTGCCTTGATGGAAGAATGTAAGACATTGTAAACTTCTTCCAACATGCCTGTGGAAGAAGACGCTCTGATCAGGTTATACCAAACATACATTTTGACAAACTTGCAAAAAAAAAAAAGATATTTCACATCACGCCATTTGAACTGTGAGACATGGCGGTGGCTGCAACATGCTGTGGGGTTGTTTCACTTCAGCTGAGGGGTGATGGAAAGATGGCTGAAGCCAAGGCTCACAAAGACTTCCACTGCGAATTTTTCAGAGCCGGCTGCTTTTAGCTCTGCGCATTTAATGAGCTCTCATTTTGGGTGGGTCCACTGAAAGATAGCCATCAGCCTTTCATTACAGCTGGGTTTTAGATTACCTAAGGAAATTCACATGGAAATATGAAGAAGTGTTTTACGAAAGTCTGCTTTTCTCCTTTCTTTTCCACACAGCCGCTCCACCGTTCTTCCCCACCTTCCATCCTCCGGTGCCAATTGACGACAGACACACCCAGGGACGTTACATCTACGAACCGTCGCCCGTGAACCCTCTTCATGTGTAAGTCACACACACACACACAAACGCAGGCCCTAAAATATCGCTGATCACAACCGATACAAATCAAGCCCCCGAAAACTTCCTTCCGCCTCTGGGCGCGGAGCGTCCTCTCTGCCTCTCAGGATCAAAGGCCGCGGCCCCCGTGCGTGCGCAACATGATCTGCATGTCAGAGACACGCAAATGAACATGTGTCAGAGACATGAAAATGAGAGCGGGGCCGAGGGGAGCCTGGGAGCGCGCCCGGTTCTCATGATCAAGCCCTGTCAGGAGGAGCGGGGAGTGATGCCTCCGCCGACATCAACCCGTCTTTGACAGACACAGATGGGCTCTTGACTGTTCAGTCTGTCAAATATATGGAGTCAGGTAAAAACACGGCGTTATTCCTCGTTAAGGAGAAAGGTGGTCAGTCGGTGTGACGCCTACTGGAGACTGGGTCAGAGAAGAACTTCAAAAGCACTTTCCGTCTTTCTTTCTGTTCACCGTACCTTCGTCATTTGTATTCTTTGCGTCCAAGTAGTGAGCACCGCTACTAGCTGCTTCATTGTCCCTGCGGCGCTTGTTTTCCAGGCGAAGGAAGCGATCATGGCGCGACGAGGACAAATTGAATGGGGCAGCTACTTGGGCCGCATTATGTTTGATATTCTTTATCATTATCAACTCCCCCCATCCTCCCTTCCTCTCCTCCAGGACTCATATCTCTCCCTTGCTGATGTGCCACTAAACGTAATGAATTTTTTATACCCCCCCCTCCTCTACCTCCAGCCCACCCCACCTCTCAACCTCTCCTGCCGCACCAGAGGAAGAAAGGGAGGAACTAAAAAAAAAAAGAAAAGACGGAAAAAAAGGGAGGTGATTGATGTCCCATGTCACTGCAAACAAAATGGCAAATATAATTTAGCATTTAGCTTATGCGGAGATAATGGGGCGAACACGCGCAGGCAACACGGGCTCAAACAAACAGCCGGGCTTGTTATCCGTCAGGAGCGCTTTGGAGCGATGTGGAGCGCAGGTTAGGGAGGGAGACGAGGGAGAGAAATGAGGAGAGGGCGGAGGGACAACGTTAAGGCAGGGAATTGAATTAAGGCGGAGAGGTTGCGTGGCGGCGGCATCTTCAGTCACTCTGTTTGGACGGGAATTACCCGTGCGCTTGGCTCGCTGTCACCGGAGACGCGGCCGCACTCTGCCTCACTACTTAAGGCCTTTTTATCCGAACCATTAAGCTCGGAGCTGTTTAATATGACATGCGACGTTGAGGGAAACTATTTGTCATGATTATAAGGCAGCTGTTGAGTGGCCAAACGCATTTAAACGGACTCTGTGAACTCGCTGTCATGGCTTTTGCGATGCACTGGGAAAAGTTCTCAGACCCCAAACAAACCTCAGTGGGATTTTCTTTGATGCACCAACATAATAAAATGTAATTGTAAGGTAAGTTATTTTTTTAACGAACAGAAAAAAGTCTCTTAAATAAAGCACATTTCAAATCTTACAACAGATTTTCTGTTCTGCTGAAAAACAGACATTGGCTTTAACTTTACCATTCTTGCATAAAAACTAGATTTCTGGAGTATCTGGTTAATAATTGTCCTGATTTTCCCAACTGAGGTTTTATCTCCGTTGAAGGAAAAAAAATAGCATCTCCACAGCATGGTGCTGCTGCCGCCATGTTTCACAAAAGGGATAGTGAAATTTGAATGATGGATATTGTTTTTCCTCTCTACACTTGACATTTTGCATAATTTTGATCGTCTTAAATCAAAATCTGACACTGTCAAAGCCTCTCATCAAGGTTGGACACCGTTTATTTGTTGTGTCTCAGGTCATTTCAGTACAACAGGTGTGTTAAATGCACCAATTGAAGATGACCTCCGGCTCTCACGCTTACGATTTCTCAGACCTGAGCTGTTTACTTCTAAAACTTCTCCAAAGTCACACAGACGTCAGTTGCCTGGCCTGAAATGGAAGGTTGTTTTTTTTTTTTACCTCCGTACTCCATTATCTGAGAATGGATTGAGTCATCCTCCAACAGATGTTAAAACCTTAAAGTATTCCTTTAAAACCTAACTCTGCTTTAATCTAATCCAACCCCTTCTCCCTGACCTATGTGCTGTGTTCCTTCATCTTCATGATGCTGTTTGTCCTTAATAAACCACTGAGGCCTTTAAAGAACAGAGGTGTTTCTATGGAGATTAAATTGCACTCAGGTGGATTTTTACTAAATAAAGTCTGCTGAGAGTTGCACTCAATTTTTCTTTTTAGAGTGTCTCATTAAGAAGCGTAAATTTCGGACAGATTTTTCGTCGTAAACAGAGTTTCATGGGGCAGTTGTACTCCTGCAAAGCACGGTGTCTAGTAGCTGTAAAGCCGTTGCGTTGGGAAGAAGCAATATTGCAAGCTTTATTAAAAAGCAGCACCGAATTCCTCAGTGAAAAGAAGCACTTATCACTTGTGGTATTAAAGAAACCACCTGATGGCAAATTGGAGTTAATTGCACATCCCGGTCTTCTGCAAGTTTTGGCTGGTGCTGAACTTTTACGTGTGCAAAGCTGCACCCGAAAGAGTAAATGGACTTGAGCGTTGAGCTCAGTAATGCTTTCTTGCAGTCAGACGCAAGCAAATAAGTAGGAGCAGTCGACGTGTCGCCGCCGTTCCAGGGAAACTGCGGACAAGAGGCGGCTTACGGTGAAATATTGAATTGTTTTAAGACAAGTTCCCCAACCGTGTGCAGAATTAATCGTTATTAGCCTTCTCAAAGATATGCCTAAGTACACAGGGACTATTATTGCGGTACTTCCCCATGCAACCTTTCATTACGGCCTGTAATTACAGTTGGGTTGGCCCTGCGGCACTTCCATCAATCCAGTCAGCTTCCCCCCGCCGTGCCGCGTGAGCCAGCCACCACCGGGCGTCCAAAAAAACACGGTGAACGCCCAGCAGCTTGTTTCCTCTCTGCCACAGCGACACATCCACCATCCGCACTCGGCAAATGAACAGAATCACATCCTATTACGGTGAAGGGCCTAATTGAAACATGTTTATTTATGGCCCCTCGTTTTTAGACTAGAAGCAGGCGTTAGCAGCGAACAGCTAACGGGGCTCCGGTGATATGAGGCGGTGGAATTAAATTAAAAGCTCATAAAATGAAATATGCTCCGTATTAGCTGTTTGACACTTAATTTGCCTTCAAATGAGCAGAGGAAATCAGAAATTAACTGTCCTTTGTTTTTTTCTTTTTTTCACCCCGCTCTTTACCTCACCTCCTCTATTAAGAAAGGGAGAACGCAATTACAGACAGAGGCTAATCGTTTAGTTTATGAATTCCTGAGGGGAAGGTACCAGTGTGCCAGTATTACAGCCTCAGGGTCAAGTGAGGTGGTGGGAGTCCCTTCTTTTGCTTTTGGAACAAAACTTGCATGCTTGCATGAAAAAACAAAAACATCTTCACCTGAGTAGGTGAAGAACTTTCCTAACTAAAGCCTCACAGGCCAGCTGGTCTGATCCTGGTCCAGATGAAGTCTTCTCTGTCTTGAATCCAGCTGTTGGTTTTCTACTGTCTCTCTGATCCAGAAGCAGCTTTTATTCAGCCTCACTAGACAGCAAGATCTGAAATATCATTTGGTGGTTTTCCAGGTCTTGATAGTAATGGAAAAAAAAATTGCCTAAATATTTGGTTTTCCAGACTGTTATTCCATATTTCACCTTCATTCCTTTCTTTCCTCCTTCTTTCCTTGTTACCTGTTTCCCTTCCTTACTTCCCATCTTCCTAGCAAATAGAAATAATTTTGGTAATTCTAACTAACCTAAAACAAGAAAAGTTTGGTCTCACTTAACTTCAGAGTGATAAAAAATGTGTCTTTTCATTTGGTGTGTAAATATCTGGTTTCAACTGTACCTTCTACGTGTCCTTCTTTCCTTCCTTTATTATGTCTTCCCTTTGGTCTTTCCATTTTTCTTTCTTGTTTCTTTCCTTCCACTCCCCTCTTCTTTTCTTGTTTGTATCCTTTCCTTCTTCCTCTCTCCCTCCCTAGTATCTTTCCTTTCTTTTATGTGCTCCTTCCCTTGTGCCCGTTCTCTCTCTCTCCTTAGTGTCCTTCTTTCGTTCCTTCCAGTAGTTAATTTATTTTTATATCCTTTCTTCCTTTCCTTTGTGGTATCCTTCCCTTATTTTTTTCTTCGCACACTTCTTCCCTTGATTCCTTCTTTTCTTCCTATTGACCTTCCTTTTTCCCTCCTTTTTCTAAGTTTCTCATCTAAGCCCTGCCAAAACCACATAATAAGCTTTAGTGCAATACCTTTTAAAATATAAAGGACTGAGATCTGTGGAAAGCTGAGTCTATAAAATTGGGAGGTTTTACATCAAATATTTACATCTTCCAGAAAAGATGTTCCCTGTTTAAACAAACACATAGATAAGTGCAGAGTGGGCCCTGCACAGGAAGCTCTGGTCCCCTCTAGCACCACCACTGGTGCAGGACTGGACTTAACGGGACTTTTTTGGAAACCGTGTCTTTCATCCCTCCGCCCCCATGCAGTGCGGTGCCAGTCCTCGGTCACCCGGAGACGGCCCCTAACAAACAGAGGAATTTGTCACAAGTCAATTATTGGCTGCAGAGTTTACTCTGGAGTCCCGGGCCCTCGTGCTGTGAATGGGGGTGCCACTAAAACCACAAAACAATCCAACAGGACGGGCAATTGACTTGCAACCTTTTGACTTGCTCACCGTCCGTAAATTTACCAAAGAACGACGGCAAACTGAGTTGATTTAGTAGACTTTGAAGGTGTTGAACATAATTTTAGTGTAAAGTCATGACAAAAATATCCAATCCTGCATTTTGTCCCATCTTCTTCTTTTGCCAATTCTGAGAAGTCTTGAAGCTTCACACTTCCAGCTCATGGGTTCTGCATTTTCGGACGTTACAGAGAACAAACTGGGGCTTTGTTCCGTATAGTTCGCCCAGTCAGGAGCATGTTTGTTCAGCTGCCATCTTGGCCAGACTGG